AATACAGTGATATCTGTTTTTAATGAATCTGTAGCAGAATGCTCTTTTAAAGCTAACCCAAACTGTTCACTTAGCGACTGCTGTACGCAATTGAATCGAAAGATTCATTGCCCTCATTTTCTCATTAAGAGTTGGTGTACTGTTTTTATAAGTTATTTGTTTCGCATCCTTTAGCCATGTTGTGAAAGACACTTTAATTTTCATTAATCACATGACAAATGAATACATTAAATTTACACTAAATTGTTGCCAGAAGGAAATCAGAAGAAGGAGAATGATAACGTGAATCAGTGTTAACCGCATTAAAACATCTTTATTGGAAAATGAGCTCTTCATGCGAGCGAAAAAAATGTTCAATTTGACGGTTCTACCAGCCATGATTTACGATAATGTTGGACTGCTACTAAAGCTGGGGAGAATAAACTCATGGTAATGCAAATGGCTCCAGAACCAAATATTTTTTGTCCTTTCGAGATTTCGTTCCGTCTGGACAATCGACTGGATTAACAGATGTGATTCCCGCTTTCTGCGTCATGGAGAGATAGGTCAGCCATGTGATTTGCCTGAGATAATTAATTGACATCAAAGATTGCAAATTTGATTCCGCAGAAGTCGACTCAGTCGTCCAAGAATATTAGGGCCATTTGATAGCCAAATTGCTTGGCCGCAGTGGGGGGCAGAAAACGGAGAATAGAGAATGTCCAAGGATCGACCGTCAGTGGATTATCCCTAAAGGAGAACAAATCGGATAACCGGTAAGATCAAAATTGTAGACTAATTATCATATCGTGTTGAGCAAGCACACGTTGCTTTTAATTTTCTGCCGAATATCCATCTAAAGTTGAAATAGAAGGAGTCGGCGCAATCCACAATCTGTATCTTTTCAAAAATGACCTACTATTGACTATACCTGCAAATAAAATCAACGTTATTTATTGAAGTTATCTAGCAGCTTTGTATTTTTTTCTTATGCAATATTCAAAATATGTCTTTTATCGCTGTTCGGTTACGTTAAACTTATTTTTCATATTGGCGGGATTTCTGTACTTTCCTTTTCGTGATTTCGAATTAAGCGACTGCTTGAGTCGAATTCTTGTTTCTCGTTTTCCTTTCCCATATCTTTGAAGATTTTTCCACAACTTGAAAGTGGTTCTCTTATATCCACCTCATCATTACCGCTCAAAATTCTATCGAGTCAGAATACATGCGAGCCTGTGATGAACTTCAAATTTGTTCTTGCTCAAACTGCCGTTGGTTAACACCCGTAGTGTCGTAGCAAATGACCAAATGCGTCATTATGCCGGGTAATACAGATATTGCACTGTCCACTGCCATACGTGAGAAACGGAAATGCATAGAGTATGCAACATACCATCCCTGAACAGGTCCATATGCAAAGTTCAAGTTGTTCTGACGAAAAACGTTTTTAAGGTCAGTATCATATTCCATTAATATCTCATTCATTTTCAGTTACATCGTCATACCTAAATTGTCACTTCAGAAAGCAGTTGGCTAATGTCTTAGGTGTCACATAATTCTAGCCAGCTGTTAATACGTACCAAACTGTGGTTCGCAGGGGAAACCGCCGTGGAAGTGGCTGCTATGTTCGAGCTCCTTGACTTAAACTTCGAGCGGCGGAATCTCGCAAAGATTTCACCTGAAAACCAGTTCTGCAAGGATGAACGACAAACGGACGTCAAGTTCAACGCACCCGGCAGGCAGGGACAATGGCCAAAACCATTTGCTAATACAGAAAGGAATGGAAGATACTGAACAAAATGTTTCTCTGTCCCCTGCGTGTAACTCGACTCGAAAGACTGGCGGATGAGCGGTGGACAGCAATGAGAATTGATATGCAAAAGGCTGCAAGCATCCAATTAGAGGACCTCTGAACGGGG